TTGTTCATTAATCCCGTAAACTGATAAAACCCCTATAAAAATGATTCAATTTTCAAAGGGCTATAACTCCTACAATAGTGAATATATTTCAATGAAACTTTTTTCTGAACTAGAGCTTGTGGGTACCTACAACAAAGTATTAGACAACATTTCTGTAGATCTTCAAACAAATTTAATAAAAATGAAAAACGAATTTTTAAGAAAAATTGACAGAGGTGAAAATTTTCGGTGGGGGGGAAAAAATTCAAACTGTTCTAAAAAAATTATTTTCAGTTGCAGGGGTCAATTACAATAATTTTTGGTGAATAGACATACCCCCGAAATCCTACCCACTTTCCAGAAAAAAATTCGAGTAGGTGCGAAATTTTTCGATAAAATTAAAAATTTTCAAATCGTTTTAAAACAAATTATTTTTGGTTGCAGTGGTAAATTGCAATTATTATTGGTCAATAGACATAACCCCGAAATCGTACCCACTTTCCAGAAAAAAATTCTTTACTGAAAATATACTGTGTGGCCGGAAATGTTTCTATAACTTTTTAGCGAAGCCTCAATCAACAAATTAGTATCCTTGATTTTCGTCTTATTTTGGCATCTAGAATCTCTCATTAAAATTTTCCCAGGGGTGGCCGACCATCCTGTATATTTTGACATATTTTATTGACATAAACATCCGCAGTCTAATTACCATTCCTTCTCTATCTCGCATTGGAATTGTTAAAGATATTAAATATAAACGTAGTTACGATTTTGAAGATGTAAACAGATGATTTGTAGCAAAGAGTTCTATCAGCCGACTCTCTGATAGCTTTAGTTTCCCAATCAGCATCTGTTCATTTAGAAACCCAACATGAAGGCTTCTAAGGTTGATTATGAATTAGTTGAAGCACTCGTTGCTATGAAGTTGAGTTAATCGTTTGCTAAAATGCGAATAAATACCTTGAAATTGCCACCGTAGGGGAAAACAAGAGGCGGGGGATAGAATTCTCTTTTCTCTCGAAGTTGCTCCCTCGCGGTTCCCAGAATTCGTCCCGTGGCGAGAAAGCACGTCAGGTATAATAACCATTTCACTTTCATCTAAATAAACAGTATAATTTTTGCGTATATTGCATACAAAAAAAATATTTTTGTACTAACGCCTCTTTAGTAACCCATGAATCAGGATATAATTTTGTAATCTACGTATATTTATATGTTAGTTGCCAATTAGAATCGAGACTTGCAAAATTTGTCAATCATCGAATATCTTCATAAAATGTAAAATAAAAAATACAATATTTGACCGATTACAGTTTGATTTGATCGTGACAAATAAAATATTCTCGGTTCAAGCATTCTCTGTTTGACGCTTTCGTGTTTGATTTAATAAATTATTTCAACAGTTCAAATCCTATTACGAGCACGTAATTAACAAAATACGCGAAACAGCTGTGCAACTACGTTCTCCTATTGAACAGAATTTCGGCGAAAGAGCTACACCGAAATCGCTTGTAAAACTTTTGGGAACTCACGTTACTCACCTGGAAGACGAAATCTGGAAGCCAATTTTGTCCTCTCTGCGCGGGCACAAAAGCACGCAGCTAACGCCAAACTCGTAACTCCGAGTCTGTCGTCCCGGGGCTGCTTGAACTTTCAGTTCCTCGGCGAAATTAACGTGTCATCCGTCAACCCGTGGCACAGTTACACTCGAGGCCTCAGCGATCGACTGTAACCGGTTGAACGAGCTAAATGTACATCGCGGATGATCCAACGGGGAACACGTAGCCCCCCGGGTCGATCTTTGGATACCGGTTCCGCGTAATCGGAAAAGAAAACAACGATATTTGTCGTTCGGACGTCGAACCGGCCTCGAGCGTTTGTTAGAGTCCTTCTCATAATCACAGTTACACGGAAGTTGTCAAGCGAACGTCTAACTCTCCCGGGCGACCGGGGACGCGACAACTTCTGAATAAGTAGCAGTGCACGGGACAAGTTTCGGGAACATGGAGATCACAGCTTGAAACTTGTCGCTTCTGGGACGACAAAGGGGCTGAAATGCATATATAAACAAACAGATAGAGTAACGACTATTTTCCAGGGCGCAGGGCGGATGGATGCGACTCTCAAGTATAGGATATAGAATTGTAGGGTGGTAAGGTTAGCGAGTTGATCCTGATACTTGAGAGTTTGTGGACTGTCATCGTTTAATGGGTTTACTGGATTTTTACATTACGTGGATTTTAATGTTTGGTAGAGTGGATGTTGAACCTGAAGTCTAATGATCCGAAGAAAGAAGAGATGAAATGAGAATAATGCATTATTGACAGTAAACCTACCACGACCGGTCAAATGACGATTTAAATGAGATATATCTTGGATTTTTAATTGAACAATATTTGGTATCAAATTCTGGTTAGCTTCTGATCTAAATAGCAGATGTATGGAGATGATGAAAGAAGAGAATCTTCAGTTCCACTGTGTGGTAAGGTTAGCGAGTCGATCCTGATACTTGAGAGTTTGTGGACTGTCATCGTTTAATGGGTTTACTGGATTTTTACATTACGTGGTTTTTAATGTTTGATAGAGTGGATGTTGAACCTGAAGTCTAATGATCCGAAGAAGAGGAGAAATGAGAATAATTGCTTCATTAACAGCAAATCTACCACGATTGGTCAAATGACGATTTAAGTGACTTATAGAAGAGAATCTTCTGTTCCACTGTCTAAGAACAGTTTAATAATGCATATTAAAAATATTTAAAATTTACACGCCCACAGCTCCGAAACCACTAGTGATTTTTTCATAACTAAGCCACTGTTAGTAGTGGCAAGGCCTCCCCTTGACTTTTCGTTTTGGAGATATCGTAATTTATGTAAAGAGTTAATTTTTATTAATTCGACTATCGCTAACTTCATCTAACGCGTCGCATCGGACCTCTCTTTCTCGTATGTGACTCGTGACCGAATGGCCGATTGACCTAGGTACTACGAGCACGTGCCGGGCAACGACCTTGGCAAGGCCATAGTAATAAAGTAAACAAACGCTTCGAACCCTTACATCTCCAGATTTAGCCACCGCATCGACTTGAAATTAAAATCGCTATATCTCCGAAACTAATAGAGCTATCGACTTGTTCGAACGCTCATTTTAAAGGGCATTTCACCCTCTATCCTGTGAAACTAACAATCATTCTAATTTATGCTATCTTCTATGTTTATTTTCACATTTATTTTGACACTATGCATCTAAAGAAGTTTAAGCAATTCCTATTGACCATACGACTGGTGTGCGACGACACTCGATTATAAATTGTTTATTTAAAAGAAAAGAAAGTCCCCCACACTCGAATGTCGTAATTTGTCGAGATCATTCTTTCATTGTTCGCGTTTCCACAGTTCGATCCTAGTCTCGTTTAAAAAGTCTCAGTATCGTAAACTCCCCGTTTGTTACTCTGAAATAGAATTTTATTTGTGCTGGACACTGCGTGCTATCGATTTCTATTATCATTTTGATCGGCATTTTTCAGTCGTTGAGATCGAGTAGTATATTTTTCATCGTACGTATCTCTCAAGCACAGAATTATGGAACGTTTGAAAGTTTCCTTATCATTTCCGTCTCTGGGAACGCGTTTAAATGTCCGGGATCAGAGATCGCCGGGCGTCGTGCTCTCCAACGAGTGCCCGGCGAAAAAGTAGACAGGAAAATATCAAACGAAGCAGATGCACACCGAACGGACGGCGCGAAGTGAAAACGAATGCGCAAACAGAGGAAACGTGATTGAAAATCGTGACAAATGACCGCGCCGGCGAGGAAAAGTGAACGTGTAACCGGCGCGGAAAAAAGTTCGTTCGCGGTCTTATGTCGTGTTTCCCGCCATTTTACGGCGAGTCTCGACACTGAAATTTACTTAGGAGTTTTCTTGCGCCGCGTTCCACTTTTACGTACGACGACTCCTTTTTTTGGTCTTGGTAGTTTAGCCACGAACGTGGATAATAAGTGCAATCACTCAAAAGCAAAGCATATAGATCGTCTGACGAGGACTAGCAAAGAACAGATAAATTATGATTCATTATGAAGCAATTAAATTTTATTTATTTTTTATAAAAACCAGACAATCCTCCAAATAAAATATAAATATGTTTACAGCTCATTTATCGTTTATTATACCGCTTTACACAACAGGTAGGAGCAAACAGTAAAAATTAGGGAAACGTTATTTTTATATTAAGCGATTGCTCCTTTATACGAAAGTATAATTCCACTTTTTTCAACGTGATTGGTCGCGTCGATCTCGATCGACAATCTCGATTACATTCCTTGTTATTCGAAACGTTGATTGTTCGTTATTAACCAAAACGGATGTTGTCTCGACGACGCGTAAGCAGGATTTACGACCCGGAGAAATTCGTTTAAATTGCGGTGGTCGAGTCCGTCGCGGACAGTGATCGATACCCTACAGAAAATCCATTTAATACCCAAGAATTTCGCGGTAAGTATTTGCAGCATGGTCTGGGATATAAAGTGCATCGTGATGTAATTATGAAAACGACCCTTTATTCCTTATTATTCATAAGGCGACAGTGGAAACAGAATACAGAGCCCTTCGGAGCCTCGTGGGAGCTCCTTCAACAAAATTTACTTAGCGTTTCTCCTCTTTTATCATCGTTCTTCGTATCGAAAATCTTTCGTGTTAACGCGTTGACTGTCAGCAGACACACATTCTCTACGAAGTAAATATTTTAGACAATTGTAAACTATGTAGTACTCATGTTCTGTAACCTCGTAGAAATTCCAGGAATCTTATTAACTTATTAGGAGATTTAATTTTGTTAGCTTCTTAGACAGTCGACGCGTTAAAATCTATTATGATAAAATTAGTACGCGAGAAAGTGCAGAATCTTCGAATAAAATTCGAACGAACATTCATTAGGCGTAGAAAGCGTCCATCGTCCCAGCAAATAAACGACACCGGTCCTCGCTGAGAGGGTTCGAACGAGGAGTAGACATTTAAATCTGGTCCCTCAGGAGAACACGATCTCCGTGAATGATTCCAAGGGCGAGTCGATGCAATCGGGATAGGCCAAGATGCAGTCACCGCCAGATCTTCCCAATCGTTCCGCTTCCTGATACAATTCGTCGACGCTCTGGTGAGTGGAATTGGCTGTCCCTGGCAAGTCCTCCGTCGGCCTGATGGAAAAATTCAAGTCCCCTTTCAGCTGGATCCGACCAACGGTTCGTTAAACCGGGACTAATTATTTGCGTCGTTGCCTTTCTAATTGCGAAACTATAAAATATCTGGAAATTCACTGGCCCGAATTGCAAGAATCTTCTCAAAATTCTAGATATTTTCAAAATTAATGTGTCAATCCTAGTTCGAAATCACATTGTACACGCAATTAAAAAGCAACGCGTAAAAATTTGAATTGGACATAGTCTAATATCGGAGTTTGAAACGATGAGCTTTTGATAATTTAGACGGAATCAAATGAAATTATCAAATTGGATCACGAGACTTATAGTTACTTTCACAATTTAGAAATTGGAAACGTCTATTAATGCATCGACTTCTAAGTGCAATGACAGTTAGATTGCACTTTTCTTAAATCGTTTTAACCTCTTCGTGGAAGAGAATCGATTTTGATAAAATGACTTAAAATGTTAATCAAGTACTATTGACGTTAGACACTGATTGTTCCAGAGGATATTGCGTAGAGATTACGTTGGTAGGAATTCCAGGGTGACGTGTGTACGCAGAGGAACACTACAAAGCGAAAACCTACGCGAAACACCTTCCATTAGGAACTTAATGCATGCACCTAACTTCGTCGCAATTAGAACGCCACTGGCTCGGTTGCAATTTCCTTTCGAGTACACGCGTCCGCGTTTCGAATAGCAAATATGTTCTCGGCGTTTGTCAGACCCGATCGTCCGACGTATATTTTAACGCCAGTGAAATATCTAATTCGTGTCCTCTGATCGGGCCTTAATTGGCTCATTTCTTGTCGTTCCAACACCGACGCGTTCTTGATTACGATTTGAATACTGTTTCTTAAACGATTTACTACTTTTGGGCGAACGAATCTTTTATCAGTGATATTCTTTATACTCTTGTTATTTTATTAACTAATTTCATTTCAACAGTGATTCTTGATTATGATTTGAATACATACTGTTTCTTAAGGGGGCAGTCTCATGTACGACTTCAAAAAAATCAATTTCTTTTTAATTTCATTTTCTAAAAGTATACATATTAAAATGTACTGTTAAATTTTGAGAGTTAAATGTCAAGTATTGTGGATTGTAGAACATTTTTTGTATATCTCTCGCTGTAATTACGTCAGTGTTTAAACACATGTTTACCGTGATCATGATAATAACATGAAAAGTCAACAAAAATGATAAAAAATTTATTCTGTATTCCCAAAGGATATTTAAGTAAACTGCGAAAATGAATTATAGCGTTAGACGTGACATTTGCTTAAAAAAAATTAATAAAGGTGATTAAATTTTGCAACGTTTACATGAGACTGCCCTCTTAAACGATTGATTACTTTTGAGTAACCGAATTTTTTATCAGTGAAATCCTTTATACTCTCGTTATTTCATTATCTAATTCGAATAATGAAAAGTATATTTTTAGGATAGGAAATGCCCCATAAATGTCACGTCCTACAGTAGTCGTTAAAATCACGAAAAATAATAATTTAACCCTAAAACTACCGAAGTGATCGAAATGACCCACTCGTAATTTCTAATATTCTAAAAAATTTGCTTGACTGGATTTCTGAAAATTTACCGTAGTTTTCTACAAGAGAACGAATAAACATTGATTTCCATCATACTGTAAATTTCTTCGAGTATCGTTTTATTTTATATACAGTTACTCACAAAATTGAGCGTACACCTATGTAGTTAATAAAAACTTGTGGAAAAATGAACATAAACAGACATATTTAAAAGTAAAAACGCATTATACATTTTACTTGTACATTTCAGCAGATAATGCGTGAAGAAATTTTTGAACAATATTGATTGTTCATCTGTGTTTAACAAAAACTGCAAAAGTATGCTTATTTTATCGTCACAAAATTGATAGTACAGTTTATTAGTAACTAGAAAACTAACTTTTGTAAAACTTCTCATGGTTTACAATTCATTCGATTGTATCTAGTAACATAGTTCCGTTGCTATGATACGTTTGATTTTCATTTGTCATTGTTTATTAGTGAAAATTTGCACTATGGCTTCACAAAGAACAGAAACTGATATTTCTGTGCGAAAATTAGTTGTTAAATTGTATTGTCAAGGTAAATCTCTAAGGCAAATTGGAAAAATAATAGGTAGAGCCCACTCTACTGTACAAAAAATTATTAACAATTACAAATACAATGGTAGACTGCATAATCAGCCAGGACACGGAAGGAAAAGAATTCTGACTGGAACTGACGAACGGTATCTACATAATACGACAAATTAAAATTAATCCAAAAAGTAGTGTATCAAAATTAACAACAGATGTTTCATCGAGGATTAGAAAATCGATATCGACAGAAACTGTTCGTAGGGTGCTACGTGATAAAGGCTATCACGGTAGGGTAGCAAGGAAGAAGCCTTATATTTCTAAGGTGAATAGAATCAAGCGTTTGGAATTTGCAAAAAAATATGTAAGTTGTGATATAAATTTTCGGAAGAACGTAATATTTTCCGACGAAGTTAAAATTAATTTATTTAATTCGGATGGAAAAATAATAGTATGGAGACAACCGAATTCAGAGTTCGATCAAAAGAATACGGTTCCTACTGTAAAACACGGCGGAGGTTCAATAATGCTGTGGGGATGTATGGCAGCAAGTGGAGTCGGTAATAGCGAATTTATTGAAACAACTATGGACAAACTAAAATATCTCGATATTTTGAAAAAAAATTTGATATCGTCAGCTCTAAAATTAAACATGCCAGTCATATATTATTTCCAACAGGACAATGATCCTAAACATACATCGTATATTGTTAAAGAGTGGCTGCTATATAACGTGCCAAAATTATTACACACTCCACCACAATCGCCGGATATTAATCCCATTGAGAATTTGTGGCGAGAATTAAAATTAAAATTAAATAATTGTAGTTTTAGTAATAAAACAGATGCTAAACGCAAAATTGTAGAAATATGGAATAGTATTCCGTGTTCGACTACAGAAAAGTTAGTCGAGTCTATGCCAAAACGTTTGAGAGCAGTTATAGATGCAAAAGGATTTGCAACAAAATATTAAAATAAAATCTGTTAGTTATTTTTGTTTAATTTGATCTGCTGTATGCTCAATTTTGTGACAGTAAAACAAGAACATTTTTGTTGCTTTTGCTAAATTGAAATGAACAATAAATTTTATTTAAGACTTTTTCCACTAATTGTCCTTCAAAATATATGAACAAAATAAATATTACGTTTTTACTTTTAAATATGTCCGTTTATGTTCATTTTCCCACCAGTTTTTATTAACAACATAGGTGTACGCTCAATTTTGTGAGTAACTGTACATGTATGATAAGAAAATGAAAATGTGATAGAACGCGATCGAAATTACGATTTCACTGCGTGACGTTGTAAGAAAATTTATCAGGACATTTGACTTTGGTCAGGGACCCAACAAGCGATCCCGAAACTTTTTGTCGGCAGTGTATGTGGACAACGGTGAAGTTACGGGCAACCTAACAACGTGCAACATTGTTGGTTGTCCGCGAACCGGGCGCAGCTGTTTCTAACGACGTTCCTCCCCCCCGCCATTCCCGCACAAGGGTCTCAAGCGACGTCGATTTACTAAATTCTGTCAGTCTACTCGTCCGTGCCCGTGCCGGTGTCCCACTTTATCAGCGAGGGAGCAGGACATCCTATTAAGGACTTCCAACGGAATTCATTAACCGGAAGCTCCTCAAGAAATAAGTTTCGTTTCGGAAAGCACGCGCCCTACGAGTGAAAGTGCGATTCGACGCAACGAACTTACGTTAAAATTAAGTGGATCACCTCCTGGAGGACGTCCTGGCCCCGTATCCTGCCAAACGGTGTCTCCGCGAGCTCGCAAATGGTCCTTAAAAGACACTCCCTGCCGTCCTGCCAGCCGTGCCTGCACATCAAACGTTCAATATTAATTTCTACTTGGTGTTCTTCGCGGCCCCTCTCGTATTTATTTCCTCCTTTTCTCCCTTTTCATTTCACCTCGTTCCTCGTCCTTTTTTTCTCTTCCCGTAGCCTCCGATCGCGGCGCAGAAGTAATTTTATTAGGAAGTTGCACGGTGGCGAGCTTCTCGGCGAACCGTGCCGCCGCGAGACGATATTGGTTTTATGAAACGACGGCTAAAAGAGAATTCTTAAACGCGCCGCCCCGTGTTCGTTTCGACCAGTACCGAGTTCAGAAATTCCCTATCCCGACGTTCCTTCGGCTAATCGAATTAAATACAAATCCGCCGTGGTTTGATCTCGGTTGTCTTTGAGGCGAGCTAGAAAACTTCAGGGCAACAAACGAAAATGGCTTCATTCGCGTCGAAGATTCGATCATTTCTAACGCGGTCCTTTTTCGGGTACAAAATAAAATAAGGGACTTCAGAATAAAAGAGAAACGATTGCAAAGTAATTACTCGTGTATACAGAAATTATTATTTAAATTATTTCTGTAGTTTGTATTTGTAGCATAAATGTAATCGAACAGACGATTAGATACTTCAATGAAAACAATAAGATAATAAAATAATAAGAGGTTTCAGAATAGAAGAGGAACGATTGCAAAATAATTACTCAAGTATACAGAAATTACTATTTAAATTATTTCTGTAGTTTGTATTTGTAGCATAAATGTAATCGAACACACGAGTAGATATTTCAATGAGAATAATAAGAGGTTTCAGAATAGAAGAGGAATGATTGCAAAATAATTACTCAAGTATACAGAAATTATTATTTAAATTATTCTTGTAGTTTGTATTTGTAGCATAAATGTAATCGAACAGACGATTAGATATTTTAATGAAAACAATAAGATAATAAAATAATATTTAACAAAATAATAAGAGGTTTCAGAAAAGAAGAAAAATGAATCTAAAATAATTATTCAAGTATATAGAAATTATTACTTAAAGTATTTCTGTAGTTTGTACTTGTAACATAAATATAATAAAAAATTAGATTTTTTTAACGAATTTAGGTCATTCAGTCCCGATAGAAAATTTAAATTACGATATATGATATATGTTCAATTGAAAATTGCTTTTGTTTTGAGAACATCACCCATAGAAACGTTTTGCGTTTATTTTTTTAGGAAAGTGTGAACTAGCGATTGGTATGTGGCGAACGATCGATACTTCGGTTTTAATCCTGCGAGAAAGTCGCCACGAATCATCTCATCGAACCAGCTAACTCGTTTCACGCGACATCGCGTTCCCTCGTCGCTCTCGAATCAGCCCCGACACTTCCTTAACTTTCAAAGCACCTTTCCAAAGCGAACTTGTCCGCTTGTTACGTACGCTTTACGTCCTCTCCAGCCTCGACGTCGAAGTAATTGCCTTATGTCCCAATTAATTTATGTTCGAGTTTCCGTCTTTACCTGTGCCTTTCCCTTCGTCCTCCCCCTGAACTCTTTGATCTTAGGGCTCGCGATGCTCGCTTAGAACTCTCTTTGTTGCCTTCGAGAGCAATCATTCTGGAAACTGGTATCGCGATTGCAGGCGATGGTCCGTTACGAGCCTCGGAATAGACAGATCTACGTAACGATGTCAGTATTTCGAATCTTCTTAAGAAATTTTATTGCAATTTGTAGATTACAGTTTGCGAGGTGAATTAAAAAAATTTATTTAGAAGAACTTTGCAATTTTCGACGATGTGAATTAAAACTGGAAACGAATTTTTATTACAGAAATAATCGATCGTGTCGAGTTTTCATTTCTCTCGTTTTCAAATTGATAGAGAGCCCTTTCGAATTCAATGTTCGAAAAAATTGTAAACAAGTGTAAAACAAAATGCTTAGACTATTTCATCGAATACCTCGTAATCCGTTTTGACATTAATAATGGACGAAGAATTGGTATATTGTCAAGTATCAAAATAAAAATTTTCCATGCTTGATAATAAGTCGACCTTTTCGTGGCTGTAAATATTGCTGGAGAGGGGCAGTAAGAATTCGGTACGCTTCATCGAAGGACAAACTCGAGGTTCTTATAACGTGTTGTTGTATCGTCATTGAAAACAGTTTAGTCCTTAGTCAACCTTCGTATCGTGTACATCTCAGGTTTAGGAACAGCATTTCAAGTGCACCTCGCCTCTTTGCACGCTTTATAATCTGGTATTCTCAAAAGTTTATTTATAGAAGTCGTGTAGCATATTTAGAATATTGTTGGTAATTCAGAATATCGAATAGTCATTGATTGTGTGTAATAAAAACATTAAATAAATCGGTAAGAAACGAGATCATTGTTAATTCCGGTGGAAAGTGCGCGTATTTATGGTGGTCATTGCAAGAAATTACTGACTAAAATAAGGAACTAGCCTAAGCTGTATCACCCCCAGGGTCATCTTAATTCTTATTGTGAGAAAATTGCAACAGTAACGATGGTGAGTTCTACTAATATATTTCTGGTATTTGTGGAAAACCATTAACGCGTAAAATATTAAAATCTGGGAGAGCAACTGAGAAAGTAGATCCCCCCTATGGTATACAAATTTAGCAAAATTAACAAAGTAGTTTAAGTTGTACCGTTGAAAACAGGATTGAAATAATTAAACAGCCAGAGGATAAGTTTAGATCATTTTTAGATTTGGAAAACAGCAAGGAAGTTCTTATTCTTATATTTATTTCAAAATGGAGTAGTACAGCAGAACGTCAATTATTATTAGAACTAATAGGCAGACAATTTCGTTCCAATAATCGATTTCAGAAAGCAAAATAAGTTTCAAAGATGTGTGGCATTGCTTCCCATGCTCGCCACCAGAGGGGTGGCGCTCTCGCAAGCGCTCGACCCCTCAGTTGCTATATATACATTCCTCGAACGATTTCCCAATATCCCAGTCGCCCCCTCCTTTCCTTTTCTGCCCTCTTACGAAATTCTCCCAAGATTCTACCCTCAGCCTGCAGAGCCACATATGCGTATTGCGTGGAAGTTTTCTATTTATTTTGAAAGAAACATTTGAATGTGATCTATTTTCTTTTGAAGTCTTTTTTTTTATTTCTAAAGGCTATCCATCTAGATGAAATCACAACAAAGAAAAATTTGGTACGATCGATAGTTTCATATTCATTTATACGATCCGTTTTCATTTAAATAGACAAACATCATAAAATTCAACGTTTTGTATTTTTAAATAAGTTCAAAGTCAGAAAAACGATGGCATAAATATCCGCAAAATTTACATGACCTATAGAGTATTTCGATATCGTCTAAACCTTTGACGTCGTCCATAAAATGTGATCGATTTGACGTGTATTAACCTCTATGTAACCAAGTCGCTATTTCAAATTTTCATGAAATAATCCAAGGTGATTTGTATATTAACCCAATACTTGTCATTGTGTTCGTGATTGAAACGGATTTATGTTGTGGCTAGGGTTGGGCATTACGCGACTAATTCCATTCAATTAATTGATAGATTAGGTAATGGGATTGCAAATTTAATCGTCAGAAGTAATCGCGATTAATATTTATCGGTACGACGACTGACAATTGATGTAATACTTAGGTGTCAGATATCGACGATTGAATAATCGTTAATCGTTCATGGCGATCGACGATAATAGTAATCGTTCGAGAGGATTAACGACTGAAGTATTATCCCTAAAGTCTGAATTCAGGGATAATATAATTTCAATGGAAATATCTTAAAATTAAATAACGATGTAATATCTAACAAATTAAATAAAACTTTACTTTAAGTAGTATTTCAAGGACATTAGGTTTGATTAAATATCATTGTTTTTGTACTTCTTAGTTAATAGCATTTATCATATATGATTTATTCTACCAAAATTAAGCATAAGTTTATTTATTGTTCTAAAAGAAACGTTTTTAAAAAAGTTTGATACTTCTACATTTTAATACAAAAATTTTATATAATACTATAATAATATTATAGTCCATGATATTTTACGTTATTAAATGTAAAAAATTAGTGCATAATTCAACCAACGACAAGTGCTAACGATTTTTCTAGCTCTCAAGCGTCGTTAAAGGTCAATCATTAATTAATTTGTCAATATTAACGTTTTATATTTCGAAGACGAAGTTTGAGATGGCAAAATGACACGAGAAATCTCGTCGATTTGGAGCACCCTGTACATGGTTAAGCCAATGTTGTTCGAAAGTGATATTAAGGTTGTCGTTAAAATAACGAGTGTCCTATCAGTTCGATGCTAATTTGTCCGTGATTGGCGTTATCGATACCAACAGCCGATGTAAATTCGTGCTCGAAATTATTCGTTCCGTCGTCATAATAGATCCGTATAATATTCCCGATGCGTAGCGCGCAATTTCCACCATTATAAGCATCCGTTTCAAGAGCCAGTCGCTTGTCCCGCAGTTCATAAAATGTGTTTCGAGTGCCAACAGCGTGCACGCTACAAAGCCCCCGTCTCCTGCTTGTTTCGCGTAATCAGCGACCCATTGTACAGCCTATCGACGATAAACACGAATTGTGGCGGGCTGGTCTAGATGATCCACAGCTAGAAAATGGAGTTTCATTAAGCATCGTCGAGGCTGGTCACGGCCAATTTCGGCCTCGAGTTAATTACGAATTTATTCATTCGATTTCAGCACCGTTCGCCGATTTATCGGAACATTTACACGGACGACGCGCGATCGTCCATTCGATTCTCGCAACCGTGTTTCCTCGAGACCTTTTCCTCGCTCGAAATCGGTAAATTCTTCTTACGATCGATATTGGTCGGTGATTTATCAAAAATGTTATGAGAATCAGGAGTCTGGAAATATTTAACCCCTTGACCGTACGATTTAATTCGAAATAATTCTTCAAACGTGTACCATATTAAATTTATTCGTACAAGGAATGGCCACGAAAATGTATAGGGTTGGGTTAGGTCTGGGTTAGAATATTTAACCCCTTGACCGTACGATTTAATTCGAAATAATTTTTCAAACGTGTACTATATTAAATTTATTCGTACAAGGAATGGCCACGAAAATGTATAGGGTTGGGTTAGGTCTGGGTTAGAATATTTAACCCCTTGACCGTACGTTTTAATTCGAAATAATTTTTCAAACGTGTACTATATTACTTAAATTTACTCGTACAAGGAATGGCCACGAAAAAGTATAGGTTAGGGTTACGATTTAATTCGAAATAATTTTTCAAACGTGTACTATATTACTTAAATTTACTCGTACAAGAAATGACCACGAAAAAGTGTAGGTTTGTCTTACGAATACCTCGTGAACGTAAAAATGTGTTGATTTTAAGACTTGATGGCCGGTAGCCTCATGATTGTGTAAACTAGACATCAGAGACTTGTCACGTGTGAGACTCGTCATGTCAAGGGGTTAGAAATTCGATCGTCGAGGAACAGGAATAGGAAATCAGTTAAATCGTCTCGAGAATCGCCGACGATGGTTCGCGGAAACTCACCGGTCCAATATGTTTTCGATGGTCCCATAAGTGTCCTGGAGATTCAAATCCCTCATCTGCCTGGCCGGTATTATTGTAGGCTCCAGCTCCGAGAAGTTCGACGGAAGTTTATAATTGAATTGGAACGCGGACGAGAACACTACGCCGCCCCTCTTGCTCATGGTAATCGGAACCGAGACGCCCAGCGTGAGCTGGAAAATGGAACAAGCAGACGCGGATGAGAAGGAACGATCCGTTTCCGCGAAACTAGTTTCCGTGTGGCGCGAAAGAATTTTCGTCCAAGGAACGCGACGGGTAAGCTTTGGCTACGGAGGCTGGAACCGAACTCTTCGACGGAAGTTTGACGCGTGGCTCGGTCGATCGCGATCCGAGCTTTATGGACAATTCGATTTTCAACCGTACGTCCAACGGACGAGGGCACGAAAAATATTTTTCAATAAAAACGTTCGAGGATCGACTGATAACCAAAGTCTCATAACATAAACGAGCAAAAAAAACTGTGTAATATCGTTGCATAACAGTCGTTAGAAACTGAAGGTGAAAAAATCGTTTTAAACGATTTCTTTTTATTCTAGGATGAATAAAACGTATTTAATTAAACAGAGAGGAATTTCACAATGTTGCATTTACCGTTATATTGCTGTTGGATATTGTTTCTTTCATAATTATGGATTATTTTATTTCTTTTTTTATCATTATGAAAATAAACCTTGCATAAAATAAATGGATGAATACTGTTATAGAGTAATCTAATTTTGTTGTATATTTTGTTGCATTTCGAGACATGTAAGAATAGATTTTTTGGACATGTTTAACGGTGGACTCAATTGGAAAAATACATCGAAATGTTGGGGACCATGGAACCCCAACAATAAAACGAATTCTAGTTGACTGTAATAAATTGCGTTCTCGGATCGAATTCGAAAGCAAGTGAATTTTTCCCCGATTTTCCAAGTATTCTACAATACAGTATCGAGTGTACTTTCCATGGAAATGCGAGGCCCTCCGGGGAAAAAGTATCTGGAATTCGCAACGAAGTAACGATAACGAAGCGAGCAACGAAGTCGATCTTGACTTCGACAGTTTCCCGGGAGCGTCGCGTACCGCTGTTTGGAATTAAAAGAGATTTGCAGAAGAAATCATGCTATTTGCAGGGAATATAAGCTTCGGTAGAACGAACACGAATTTAAGGTGCCGTCAAACGGGGTTGCACACAACGCTTTTACGCTTTAAAGATATACTGCAGAAAATCCAAAATAAATAGACGAGTTTCGAATCAGTTAAAAATTAATTTTCGCTTCTTTACGATTTGATAATTTATGATAAATTTTCGATCGACAATCTGAAACAAAGCGAATATTAAACGATCTCTAAAATGATCGTAGTAGAAACTAAAAGGGTATAATTGACATTTCGTGCATCCTAATCTAATATCGTAATTCCAGGTGACTGCTTTGAGGAAACTGGTAAAAGGCGATCTTTTACCTATTCCAGGCTTCTCGGCTTGTTCGGTTAGTTTATTTAAAAGCAGCCTCCCGTTTTCGCAAACGAGCCGCGAATACGCCTTTGAGCTCCTTTTTCGAGATTGCTTATTCAAACGTTTCATGAGAACCCTTTATTAAGAACGAATAGCGAATAAGAACGAAATCATCCCTCCCCTCTTCGTTCGTTGCAACGAGCCATCGACAAGCGTCTTCTTCTTCTACTTCGTCGACTTCAGCCGTCTTAGAGACAGAAAACATTAAGAATTCAATGCAAACACAGGCGTAATCTAATTAGAGGAAAACTCGCGAAGGAGTACTCGTTATCTCAGAAACGGGCTTAATAAGTTTCGCGGCCAGTCCACGACGATAAGAGACTGGGATTGCAGCACGGTTTATCTTGTTTCGTCGCCTCGTTGGCGCGGACAAATGTCTGAGAAATCGAAGAACGATGGTTCGACGACGTTCGAGGAATTATCTGGGGCGAGTTTCGCTTAAAAAAGAAGGTCGACTATATCGTTCATAATAAGCATACAACGACGACAATATCTTCATATATTGTTGTTATAATAACGGCAAAAAGTACTAGAGTAACTACAAGATGAACTGCAAAAACAATAATAATAATAATAGCTTTACTTCGAAAGCAGAGACTTAAAAACAATAGGGTGCTTGCAAAGAGCTCAACAAACAGTTTATAAAATATATCTACAATTTACAAGAAGGAATACTGCCAAGTATCAGCCATTATACTAAATAATACTGTGCTTGTAGAACAAATAGCTGCTGCAACAAAATTATGTTACCAGCAACCGGCTATAAATTAAAACGGGACCTAAAATTATGTGGATTGTTGGGAACGTATTTGGTTGAAACATAGAAACTATTTAGCGGTGTAGATCGATATCAATTTCGCTAAATGACAGTTACGAGAATGTAGAACGCACGACTAACCGCAGATTGCGGGAACCGCCATCAAAATTATTATTTACGTCGCGCGTTTAGTTGTAGTGCACATTCAGATTGCATTCTACGCACCATTTTGTTATGCAATATGATATAATCGGTGAGATCTTCGGGACACGAGAGCGACAGTTACGCGTATTATCGCATAGAATGTTTATGGTTGTACCTTTTAATTGCACACCTATGGCGGCATTTCAGAACACAGAATATAAACTTTATGGAGATTATACAATTATAATTTATCCAACAGGCTTGATAAAACACTCGAACATTAGAAACTGAAGCACGCCTATTTAATAGATACATTAATTACAAATACAAATATTTATGTACATAAAATAGTTTCTAACAAAAGTAGATTCTTATAACGAGATGGAAACAACTATAACAAAATAACACCATACTCTGTTAACGTTCAACACTGTAAAAACAAGTTTAAGTAGAAAGAACGAACATTAGTCAGGCACCTTCTAAGTAGAAACAATCGATATTGGTCAGGCGCGTATTCAACAGTTTAAATACAACTCTCTTCTAAAACAAAGCCTCGTAAGAATATACTCTACTATGCTTTTTAGACTTATATTAGATCAAAGAATCGCCTCATGTCAGTTCGTAACTTCCATCTTTGACTCCCCCTCCTCCTTATGTAATTTAATATTTACTCGGAAGATAGTTACCTGGAACAGTGTCCTCTCTGGATACAAGAGTGCATTCTCGCCATAGGAGATTAGTAAGAAGAAAATCGCAGCTACCAGGTACAACGATCGAAGCATGTTGTACGTAAGTGCTTCGAGGATCGCGATACTTAACGCCACACGTCACAGAAACTCGGTTCCCGGTTTTAGATCACTGGTCAACGAACCACGCGCGAATGGTCACTGATTCCTCGACGAGTTCACGACGACGCGATAATCAGCGCTGAAATTCACAGGACCGAGCGATATTTGCTCCCGACACACGTTTTTCATAACTGGAAATTACGGTTCACTAAAAATTCCTGTCGATCGGCGACGATCGACAAATTATCCAACGAAATTTACGCGTGATTTTCGAACGGCGAACGTCGAGTTTGAATATTTGCGATTTTGGGAATATATTTGGAATTTTCGATTAATTTGAGTTTTACACGATTATTATTATTTATTCAAGCGTCTGGACGAGTTGCAACATTTACAGTCGAGCATTCGTAATAATATTACGTTAGAGTAATTGTAAAGAACGCAAAAGTCTTTTGTAAGTAATTATGGATATTCGTTTGGAGTTCTGCTCTAGTTGTATCGGTTTTTCGAATTCCGGTGAAATAACTCCGCGGTTCTGGTTGCGAGTTTGACGTGTAAATAGAACATAGCGAGTTCGCAGAAGCTTGGAAGTGAATTGCGTTTAACTGCTGATCGGAAAATCGTACGCGAAATATTTCGTAGCGTTTGTTTGAGAAACCTGTAACACAAGTAAACTGGGAATCTATGACGGAAGTTTGTTTGATACTCTGCTCGGATGACCTAATTTTGGCTACTTGGCCTGCTTGGGAACCTCGTTTATGTTAATCGTTGTCCTTCCTTGTTAATAAATTATCAATCTCCTTGCTTCGTTGCAGGAGGATCCTCGAACACCTGAAACTGGTGCTTTTGGACTTTAGTCAGACGAGCTTAAATCCATTATTTTTTAAACGGACATCTAGGATAATTAAAAAAGTAATTTGTCAATTTCAAATGTAGGCACTGAACCTAACGTTTTAATTTCAGGATTTATTTATAATATATTTCTCAGGTAAATTTTGTTTTGAACGTTACGAAGTTCAAAATTTTTCATTTTCTTTCTTTAAAGACAGGTCAATGTTACTGTGAACTATGTAACTTTAAGAAAATTATTTTTTCAATAGTTAGTTCGACGTAAAAAAATTATTTTCTGTAATTTAGTTGTGCCCTTATTGCTCTAGAAAAGTCCAATTCAAATCGACGATGATTCCTAAAATCAAATCTATAAATATCATTTACTTTTAGAGCTATTATACGAGAATCTCTGACTTGCTGTGGAAAATTTTTAAATTATTATGTAGCGAAGTTTCCCGTTTCTTGATTGTATCGTCAACGAGTCACCCTGTGTAATTCTGGTTGATTGTTAACAGACAAAGCATCGGTTCAAACGGAATTTCCGTTTCATTGGGCATTTAAGCGTCGAAATACAAGGACAGGATATATACAAACTATGCAAACGCGTTTTATCAGAGTGTTCGGTGGCTGCTTGGAAAATCGGCGCGCGATTCATCGGCGCATCAGCTTAACCCCCCAGCAGCGATAGCGTTGTAAATCCAATAATTGCCCGGGCCAGGCCGTTAAGCAGCTTTAATTAATTCCGTTTCCAGCGTGCCGCGATTAACGACCAAAGTTGAATTAAAATCTCATCCGAGGACGCTCGCTGTGAAACTTTTCGTTCCCCTCGGCTCAAGCAATCGTTCCGCGTCGCGTCAACGTGTTTGTTTCTTACCTCGGGACAATTTTTACGCGGACTGATTTATCGCCCACGCGAATTCACGAATAAATTTATCAAAATGATTTGTGTACACGTTTGGTTCAAATAATCCTTCGAAAAACTCATGAAACGTCATTGGAGAATCACAATACGATGCTTTTCTCGTGGAATCTTTGGTCCAGACGTTACATGACGACGATTGGCTACGAATAACGAACATCCAGATCGCTCTGATTCGTCCCTTTCTCTCTCCAGTGTTTTCTATCTCGTGTTCTCGAGTTGCACAGAAATTTACCGAGATATGCAAGGAGAAGCCCGAGCTCTCGTTCCTCTGGACATTCCCGGGCGAACTTGCGACCTTTCGAGAAGAATCAATTTCGAGGAAGCGAGTTCAGGTATCGAACTAACGCGCATAAATGCGGTTGCGTTTGTCTTCTTCTTTCAATTCCCATGCAAAGGGCATAAATAACGTCGAAAGAATACTTGTTCGATTCGTATATCGTGTAATATATTTTCTTGATTTTATATTTCAAACATCGATTATCCTAGGATTCGCTGGATTATATTGGGTTCTTAACACTTTAACGGCCGCACGTATCACGCGAAAACTGTTGTCCATCACCAGTGATATTGAACACCAAAGTGAGATACACGAAGATGCTAGGAATATTATTATAAGGAATTATAAATGTAACCTCAACAAACGTAATAAGTTGAATGTACGATGAAATGGTAACTGATACAGTAGATCAGAAAGTCACATATACGTTACAACGGCCGTCAAAGTGTTAAGAATGTCTTGCATTAATCGTGACAGTTTTGGAACCCTTCTTCTTTATTGAATTACGTCTTTAATTTACAATATAGTCTGTACGATAATTTATTTTAATGTATCAGGAACTTAGGGAAATGATGTCTTCTTCTTTCGATTCCCATGCAACGGGCATAAATAACGTCGAAAGAATACTTGTTCGATTCGTATATCGTGTAATATATTTTCTTGATTTTATATTTCAAACATCGATTATCGTAGGATTCGCTGGATTATATTGGGTTCCTAAGAATGTCTTGCATTACTCGTGACAGTTTTGGGACCCTTCTTCTTTATTGAATTACGTTTTCAATTTACAATGTAGTCAGTATGATAATTTGTTTTAATGCAACAAGACTTTCTTAACAATCTAATACTCGAGTTAGTGCTTAAATAAAAAAGTCTGTGATATTAATGAAATATTGAAGAGAAATCCTCTTTGGTTTAAAAGAAGACGTCAATGTTCTCGACGCGGGGAAGAATAGTGATGGTTCTTCCGATCGTGGGCTCGTCCACCGTCGAAATTAAATCCGCGAACGCGCTCGGGGAATTTGAAAATTCCGTCAGCCGCTTGAATCGAGCGTGTTTGCTACGACGATGTGCACAATCGGTGATTGTCTATACAGAGCGATGACAAGTGGAACGGTTGGACGTAGGGTGATTCGTTATGCAAAAATAAATCGGAAATATAAAATAAAATGTTTTCGCCTCGAGCTTCGTTTTCGAGGGAATCGTTTTTCGAAATATATCGAGCACTTGGGCGTTTCAATGCGACTAATTTGCGCGTTTGAATATTATTTTCCACATAGCGATAATTCAATTTTATGCTTATGTTATATAAAAAAGGAATACTTACTTAAATGATCGTTCTTTATCGGAACGATTGATTCAAAATTCTGAAATTTAATATTTTAAATGTAAAATGAAACGGTGGCCATATAGAGTGACACGAGTTGAATCTAATTTTGTAATTTGTTCCAAGAAAGATATTAATAGTTGTCTAGTTTGATGAGTTATTCATTAAGGAGTCATTTGCTAAGTAATCGACGGTCGTTCGATAGAATTAGGAAGACATCAAGATGCATTTAGAGAAGTAGAGTATCATCAAGAGGAATATTCCTGGTAACAGATTGAATCAGCAGGAGGCGCGTCAGTTCTACAAGGGAATAATTGTAAGAGCAATTAGTATAACTATCTTAAAATCTAGGATTGCAAGAACTAGGGTTAAATAAATGTATATTCTCTTAAAAAAAAATTGCTTTCTCTCACTTTTCTGACAACCATCTGTCATAGTATTACAAAAAGATGTTAATCAAAAAGAAAAGACTCGCATCAAGAAGTTCACTCTTTATTATCACAAATTGAATCACTTTTTGTTGTGTATGTCACTTTGTGTAAAGAAAAATAATAGACAGACGGAAAATGGCGGGGCAAGAAAAACAATAGTCGACTGCGAGAAGTTGAAAAGGCAGGATTTTTAGGCGTAGTTCCTTCCGGAAGGATCGCTGAAAGCATTACTTTACGTTCGCGTGGCTCGTAAAGACCATAATGGCGGTGCAATAAAAGCGATACCTAGGACGGAAGTAATAATATCGTCAATGTCAGGGAAAAATCGCACAGGCGATGCCATTTATCTTTATTCCGCGACGACACACTTGTTTGCACGTTCTTCGCGTTATTTTGTTCCGCCATTGGCAACTGTTGCTCTCGGTGGCCAAATATTTTTCGAGAAACGGCTGACCCACGGAGTTGGAGCACTTAAAATAGTTAAAGCGAACAAGTAACAGTTATGACTATTCACGAAATATTTTATGATTTATATTATCGCAGAAAATATTTTGTGATTTTTATTACTTTTAATATTGCAAGTTTTTAATCGTCCATCGAAGTGAAATTCGCCAAGTGACCCACTATAAATTGCAAATAGACGAATTAAGAATTGTCAAGAATATTAAACACAGTATTCTTGTATCTACGAACTATAAACGAGGCGTTAGCCAGAATGATTTCTAGTATTTCTGCAAATTAAATGTCCTCTTACGTAAAGAACAATTAAAAAAAATTTGAATTGAAAAATCGTGGTGAGAGTTCTAGAAAAATCACAAACACACAGACTTGGAATTTTATATTGACGATACGTCGTTCCAGAAAATATTACGCATTTTAAAATGTCATTTTATCGAGCAATAATTGGAATTGAATTACGGTAGAGTATTTCATTTCAACACTTGGAAAGCAGTTTCGAGGCGCAGGGTATGGAAAAAGGTTCGACCGGAAAACTGAAAATGTCCCTGGATAGTAATTGGAAGAAGAGAAGAAAAAGACATTCCGAAGGTCCTGAATTTTAGAAGCGAGCCACGACGTGATCCGATTACGCTGCACCGGGCAGAAGACAGTTCCTTCAGGGTTTCGTTGTAAATTACGATGGTTCGTTGGCTGGAGAGCCGTTTCGCTGGACCGTTGGCTCGATCGAAGGGCAATGTTTCCTCGGGC